TGTGTGTGTGTGTGTGTGTGTGTGTGTGTGTGTGTGTGTGTGTGTGTGTGTGTGTGTGAGTAAAAAATGATTATATAACGTGACTTTAAAGACTTGAACTTGAAGTCCACCGAACATTTACAGGCTGTTACTGTTAGAGTTAATTTTTATTATTTCTTACCAGATTATTATTTCAAACTGTTTGTGGTGCTTGTATGTGTTCTACAATGTATGCAAGTTCAAATAAGTTTAATAAAATAAAAGCAGCTGCTGTTTTTTCTAACTGAAAAAGATTAATGAATATAGATTTATACATTTATATATAGATGGCTTGTACTTGTATAGCACTTTATGAAGAGGACCCCAATTCACAATACACTCAGTCATTCAACTATTCACACACACACACACACACACACACACACACACACACACACACACATGCTGTTGGTGGCAAGCTGCTGGATAGAAGCGAGGTTCCCATGCAGGCCTCTGACCCCCACCAGCAGGCAAGGTGTGTGAAGGTTCTTGCCCAAGGACACAATAACAGAGGCGGATGGAGCGAGAATCGAATCAGCAACCCACCGATTGGAGGGCAAAATAACCAGCAGCTATCAAATAGGTTCTAAAATCTGATTTTATTGACTTTTATTAGGAAATGAGAAAGACATGTTATTGAAGCTGTGTTCCAACTGATTACACCACATCATAAGGATTCTTGGTTGTGTCTGTAATTACTGAGCTGATATAACAGGAAAGATTGTGTTAGGATGTCTTTTAGCCCTTAGTCACTATGAAACTTTTCCATCACTCCCCTGAGACTCTGGAGCAGCTTAGGCCAGGACTCAGGACACGTCTCATTCAGATTTGAGGCAGATTGTAATGTCACAGACACAGTCCAGACTACAGTTATCATACCTCCTTATATTTACCTCTAAACACCCAAAGAGTCACAACTCATGAAAGATAGAAGTGAAAAAGAAGGATAGATGAAAGAATGAAGATTGAATCTTCTAGACTTAATCTGTCCAGGTATCGTGCCAGGAGATTAGAGGAGCAAGGGGGATTGTCCTCAAGACGCCAAAGGGATTACAACATGGAGAGCTTGGGGAGGTCAGGGTGGCTCTCAGAGCTGAGGTGAAGGAAAGGAGGATGAGTTAAAAAGGTGATATGGAACATATCATAATACAGCAAAAAAAAAAAAAAAGAGTGACGTCAAATCAAATAGTTTTTCTTGGTTGAAGAAATACCTCTGCCTGCTGGAAATAATGTGATATTTTGTGAGAAAAAACAACAAAAAAACAAAAAAAACTTTGTCACAAAATAGTAAAATAATAATATAAGCTAAACATTAGCTAAATACATTTTAAATTAAATGTGTTTGGAAAAACAAATGTACTTGAAGAACAGAATATTAACAGGAAAAACACTTTCTTGCTTTTACTTAGTTTATCATTAATTATCAAATATTTATACAACTGTATATATATATATATATATATATATATATATATATATATATATATATACAGTTATATATAGTTTTTAGCTTTTTAATTTAAAAGTTTTATATTTTAATGCACTAAGTTAGTTAAAATCTATTCTGTAAATTCATAGGTTGGTTGGTCTGACTTTAAATTGTTTGGGGTTGCTTAGGTTTGTCGTGGAGCTGCTCAGTGGCTCACACACACACACACACACCACCTAGTAACAACTCTTGTAGAGGTTCAATGAACTGAGTTTTGTCAGGATGTTTCCTCCACACAAATAGAATAGTGAGTATTCTGTGTTAAGCTCAAGTTCATGTTCAAGCTCCAGTAGTTGCAGTGCCTATCATGTTTTTGATTCCATTTTGGACTCAGTTATTTTATGAAATCATCTCATATTTCAGCCTGTCTGAGACATGCTGCTTTGTTTTCCACATCATAACTGTCCATGTTTACTGTGACTACAAATGTTCCCAAACAATTAAATTTTGTCTTTCTTAAGTGGCAAAAAACTGTTGGAGCCTTTTTCAGTTGACTGACTGGAATTGCACAAGGCAGGAGGGGCCTTTATGCTTAAGGCCCTGTGCCCATGGGAACATTTTTCTAAAGAACCTCCACAAGAAAACTGGATTTTAGGGGATCTTAATATTTTTTTCTTTTTCATGCGGATACTTAAAACACTTGCATATCAGGCCAACCTGACCTTTTACCCCAAACATGTCATACACAACAACCACCATGTTTGTCCTCAGAGTTTATTAGAATTACAATCCAACGTGACACAGAGAAGAAGCTCAACTTCATTATCAATCCACACAAAACATTCCACATGCTCTCTAATGTTTGCCATTTTATTCTTGACATGTTTTCTCACGTGGAGGCTTTAGGCCCAGGTCCAATCCTCCATGTGTAGCGCCATTTACAGGTCTGAAGGAATAAAAAAATTACTTTTTGAGACAATCTCTTGATTCTGTGTTGATGAAAACATTTCTGGAAACAGTCCAATGAGGAAGTGGCTGTTTTTGAAATGTTGCCTTTCCCATCATCTCTTATTAAAAGAACTTTAAATTGTGGGAAGCACATGATGGATCATATTTCTTCATAAACTCCATGCTTTGTAGACTGAGGACACTTTATCTTTATCTTATCTTGTGAAGCTGTAAATTGAAGCAAAACACCAACTTTCAGGCTGGTGGATCCTGACTCCCGAGTCAACATGGTTGATCAATGCCTTTTCCAGTGAGAAGCCCAATCACTTCCTCTCTTAATTGCCAGAAACATTCCTGATAGCCTTCTTACACCTTCTTACATGACTTGAATCTAATCTTAAAACTCCAGACAACCACGTGTAATTCTGTTACTGTGCAGGTGGCTAACCCCCCACTGAAGTCCACAGTAATCTGTGAAATTTCAAACATAGTTAGTGTCTCCACCTTAAACTAGAGGCAGGATGCATCTTAGCCAGAATTGGAAATGACATCATCCCTCTGACGTGAAGGAAGGCGGGGCTGTAGGGGTAACTCTCTTAAAACAGATTTCCAAGAAATGAATAAAAGTGATTAAATACAATCAGAAATAAAGAGAGACGACTGTGTCTGTTTCAAAAAATGTGCAAAATACGCACTGGTGTCCACACAAAGAGGAAAAAATGCTTCACAAGGACAGCTGGACCACTGACACTGTGGTTAGAGAGCTACCACTTTATCTTCTGTACAGACACCCCAGCTTACAGGGTAGCATGATTAACAAGGTGCACTAATAATCAGCCTGGTCCTTTATCTGCTGTGTGAGTTGCTGTGTATGACATGGATTCTGTCATGTAAAGGAGACGCTGTTCTTGTATGTCCTTTAATCTCATTGTCAAAGAGGAAAGTCTACTAAATTAATCAGAGAAAGGAGAATCACCCAAGACAGAACCGACCCAAGAATCAGTCACACTGACAGCTGGTCTGAGTGCTTGGTCTTACTTCGTTGGTTTACTCAGCTCCTTCATGTGAATGCAAGAATAAAAACCAAAATGAGAACAGAGAGAATAACACCCCATTAGAAAATAAATCTTCTTTCAGTTAAGTCATGTGGTGCAGTAAAAGTCCTCAATTAGTAATGAAGCAGATTGAACACTTAAAGGACAATCAAAAGTAAATCTATTGTTGATTTTTCTCATGTATTTGTAGCATGGTTTTTAGAGTGTAAAGTAAACTCTAAAGTACAGTGAAGATTAATATAGGAACAACAACAGAGTGGAAAAATATAGCATCCAAAGGAAGGTAAGTTGGTGAAAAAACAACTACTAAGGGCAAATAAAGTATGAGTTTCCAAAATTACCTTTAACATTTTATACATGGTAATGGTTTCACTGATTAGACTTTAACTAAGTCTAACTTTTTAATTGTCTTTTAACACATCCTTATATAAAATCATGGCAACGACAGAAGTAAACAGTTATATGAGATACTGTCTGTCCAAAATTGTCATCACTCGGTTATCTGTTGAGGGCTGATGGTTGGTGATGTTGCTTCAGGCCTGGACGTCTAATAGAAACTTAGGGGAGAGTGGAAGGCATGAAACTGTTAGCAGCCTAAAATGAGATCAAACCTCTTTATTACCTCTTTATTTTTAAAAATGTTTTTCAAATTTTAGATGAAAATCCAGAACAACACCAAGGATGAGCAGTTTTCAGAAGATTTGATCACCATCACATGACAGATTGTTTTTTTAGTCTTACATATATATATATATTTTTTTTTTTTTTTACTTTGCCTTAGGAACACTCTGCTCGGCCACATCAGAAAAATGCCTGTCTGCGCCTTGCCAGAACGGCGCCACCTGTGTGGACACCATGGATGATTATGCTTGTATCTGTACCAGAGAAGGTGTGCTGTACATGGGCAAAAACTGCAATGAACTTTATGATGGCTGCTCCTTTGTGCCATGTGACGACTGCACCAGCACCCTAGGAACCAGGGAATACCACTGCATATGCCCAGACGGACTCACAGGAGACAATTGCACTGAGGAGGTGGACGAGTGTCAGAGCAACCCTTGCTCTGAGCCTCGTTCTCTGTGTGTGGACCAGTTTTACGGATACTTCTGCAGGTGTCCGGCTGGATATGGAGGTCAGGACTGCAGGACGCATGTGACCGATTGCATCGATAAACCCTGCATGAACAATGGCACCTGTGTGCTCCGACCAAATGGCTTTGAGTGCCACTGTGCAGCAGGGTTCAGAGGGAGGACCTGTGAGGAAGACGTGAATGAGTGTTTATCGGAACCCTGTCAGAACGGCGCCATCTGTATTGACGGAGTGGCAGAGTACCGTTGTTTCTGTGTGCCCGGCTTTCAGGGCCACAACTGTGAAATAGACATTAATGAGTGTGCTTCTCAGCCATGTGAGAACAATGCTACCTGCATCAACGAGAAGGACCACTATGAATGTGAATGCATGGTGGGCTTCACAGGTAAGGTCCACAGTCTACACACACACACACACACACATATGTTTGTGTTGCTATCTTTGTGGGGACTTTCAATTGACTTCCATTCATTTCTACAGCCTAAACCTAACCTTTACCCTTTTCCTAACCCTAACCCTCAAATACCTAACCCTAACCCTACCCAACCAAAACTCAATTCACACCTTAGTTCTAACTCTGACCCCTGACCCAAAAACAGGGTTTCCCCTTGTGGGGACCAGACTTCGATCCCCACAAGGAGCAACTGTAGTATATGTCAGGAAAATCATACCCACAAGGTATTACAAACAAACGCGCACACACACACACACACACCGCAAGGTGCACCCCGCTGGTGGGTGTTAGAGCAGTCATTCGTCCAGTGCCCCATCATGTTTTTGAGTTAAAAAATTTTTAAAGTTGACTAGAACTTGAAATATCACTTGATAATTATGTGTTATTGGAAGATTAATACCTGAATGCCAACTATAAAGTCTTAAAAATGTAAATGTATAAATAAATAAATAAGTGCTTAGCCTGGTGGGGGCACAAGTAAAACCTGGCGGCCCGCCAGGCTTTACCTGTGTAAGAAACCTTGTTAATGTTATTGTTGGTTTTACAAACAAAGACATTCTTTTGTCTGACATCAAATTTGGCTAATATTGCCAGAATTCCAGAACATTTTCTTAAGATAGAAACCTTTTTAACTATTTGAGCATACTACTGTTTGATAGCTTGGATCAATCAGAATGTATGTGTGATTGAACTGAAATGATTTTTTTGTAAATAGACATTTGTTGTGAATTGGCGCTATATAAATAAACTGAATTGAATTCAGATATCTGGCAAAAGCACAGTGAATAGTTTTGTAGATAAATCTCATTTCCTCATTGAAATAAAGTAAAGAAGCTAAAAGTCTGTGTAAACATTAATGTGACAATAAAGTCTGGAGATAAATTTTAAAATGAACAATCTTCTGGCATGTCTTTAACCACTGTACTGCATTGTCACAATGGCTGCACCTTCTGATGATCTCCCTGTTGTTACTGAGGTATAGACCAGCTGTAATTGGCTGTATTACAAGGGGTAATATTAAAGCCTTTCCATCTTTTGCCTTCACCTGGATTAAGCAAAACATGTGGATGACCTCAGAAGTAAGACAAAAACCTCTGATGTCATCTATCCAAGGACTGAAATTAGAGATGCAGCCTTACTTGAGAGGGTTGTTTGTGTTGTGTGTTGCTTGTCTAATGGAATCATGACCTTTCAACTCATGTGTTCAGAAAGAGTTGATACAGTGTTTTGTTGATTTAGACAATAGCTTAATTGAATTCCGAACACTGACTCCTGTACGTCCTGTAGGAGTCAACTGTGAAACTGAATTAGACGAGTGTGACTCCCATCCCTGCCAAAATGGAGCCACCTGCCATGATTTGACTGGAATGTACTCTTGTGAGTGCCTGGCTGGGTTTGACGGCATCAACTGTGAGGTTGATGTAGATGAGTGTGCCAGCCAGCCCTGTCAGAATGGAGCCTTCTGCCATGACATGGTAAACAGGTAAGTAGTTTCCATAACAATAATGCCCACCTTAAGCAGAAAAACGTCGTATCCACTTTATTGATATTAGACTCCCATTACACTGTTGTAATGTGTATCAGCCTTTTATTTTAATGGCAATAGATGACTTAATTCCATAGGAAAATAATACTCCTACATAGCCTTTTGAAACATTTACTTAGTAAGCTAGCCTACTGCTAGCCTCTAGATTCTGAGGAGCATCATATGTGCATCACTGATGCAGCATTGGCACAAATCAGACATCAATTTTGCAGTAATAAACTAATAGTAGCATTGCTTAATCTGACCATTATAACTTTTACTCACATCAGGATGCCAGAAGCTTGAAAGTCAAGGAGAAATATATCGCATATTATCATAATAATTTGGATAATTATTATTTACTCACACTGGGTCACTCAGAGGATTGAAGTCTCATTCTCAAAGTGCCATCTGATGATTTAATATATATTTGTTAGTAGTAATTAAAAATATATTAGTAAAACAAGACAGTGAAGTCTAAGGAAAAGTAGTGTACTAGGTCATGATGCAGCAGAACACTGTGAATTCCACTCCACCACTGATCTCTGTATACAGAGCGTATCAAAAATGACACATATACTTTAAAGACATTGCAGGACTTGATGTTCCACAAAATCTTTAAATCTTCATGTTTACACTCAAATTAAGTGTTTTTCAAAATGGCAGCATATATGGCAGGGTACAAATCAACTAGCTTTAGAACTTCCTGAGAGCAGTAGTTTTGTTGTCAAAACTGGACAGGTCGCCAGTCCATCACAAGGCAACACAGAGACAAACTGGATACACAATCATATACACACACACACACACACACACACCTAATGTCAAATTATGAAGACTAATTAGCCTAAAAGTCATGTTTTTGGACTGTGGGAGGAAGCCGCTGTACTCAGAGTTAACCCATGCATGTACAGGGAGAACATGCGAACTGCACAGTGGCACAGTTGGTAGGATCTTTCTGCATGGAATTTGCAAACTAACCTTCTTCTAGTGATTATATACTTTTCTGTCAATCTTCCACAACTTTCTCATTTGTCACTGATGGACATGTGTTTTATAGAAACTAGAGTGTTTGTAAAATGAACTCATGTAATGTCTTGCTTGATCTCAGACTGCTGATCCTCTCCAGTCTAATCACTAGTTTCTGTCTTTACCAGCTATGAATGTGACTGCAGTGACACAGGGTTTGAGGGCAAACACTGTGAAGTGGATATTGCCGAGTGTGCCTCAGATCCCTGCCAGAATGGTGCCACATGTATAGAAGAAGTCAACGGATATGTTTGTCTTTGTTGGCCAGGTATGGAAAGACCGCTCCTTTTTCTGCCAAGACGAGCTCCAGTATGGCAGACTCACAGGTCCCTGGATGTAGTACTTAGGAGACAGGATGAACTTGTGATTTGAAGTATTTAAACTTTAAACAGGCCTCTCCTAAGAGAGATGATTCCTTAGCAAAAACAAAAGTAGGAGTAATAATGGTTTAGTAAAATAGACATTGTTAAAGATGAGGGAGAATGATGTACTTAACTGTACTGATAAAAAAATTGGAAGGTATCTGAGATTAGATAGAGAGAATTTGAATATATCCATCTGACTTTGATCTCGGAATTAATGTAGGAAAAAATGTTTTTACAAATTTTACAAACTGTAAAATTTTTTCAGTTTCTGCAAATTATGGATTGCTGCATATCCATCAGTCTCCCTAGTGTAAAAACTGGCATATATGTTACTATTTTTGCCTTTCTTTCCAGGTTATGAAGGAGCAAACTGTGAAGTTGACATTGATGAGTGTGCTGAGCAGCCCTGTCAGAATGGTGGCGAGTGTTTTGAGCGCTCAGATCCTTCTCACTGGGAGCAGGACTGGGAGCTCAGGTTTTCAGACGCAGCCGGCTACATCTGCCAGTGCCAGGGAGGTTTTGCAGGTTGGCAAAGAATGAATGAGAAACTAAATGATCTCTCACACTTCTGGTCTGATGATGCCGACTCTGGTGTTTTTCTACATTTCAGGAGAAAACTGTTCCATAAATATAGATGAATGTGAATCTGAACCGTGTCAGAATGGAGGCGCTTGTGAGGATAAAGTCAACGGCTATGTCTGTGTGTGTCCTGTTGGATTCTTAGGTAAAGTTTCTAATTTACAGCCAGCCAATTAGAGCCAGGAGGAGGGGCTTAGAGCTTTCAGTTATAATGGAGAAGCAGGAAAACTGTTTATTCGCTGTCATCGGTGGCTATGCTAACTAGCCTATCATTCATGGCAGGCTCTGCTGTGGGGGAGGAACTGTGGTAGAGCAGAGAGAAAGGGGGGAGATTGTGAGAGGTGTGTACACAAGCATGATTGGCAGTGCCAAGACCCTCCTACTGGCTCTGATTGGTTGTTTTTGACCAATTAAGAGGCATATTTCTGCAGGTAGCACTGGCAGAAGGCAGAGGAGCTAAATTTTTTTTCACATATTATCCATCTCATATTATGCTGTCACAACATAGTGACAAAATATGTAAAAAAAAAAAAAAATGCTACTGCCAAAACTTTAGTTTGTGACTATATTAACACAGAGCATGATTCCTTCTTCACAGCAGAATTCTACTATATTTTAATAGAGTAGCAATATTAGAATATTCAAATTATTAAATCCCCTCTTGTTGCTATTGTGTGTTAACTTTCTGCTACAGATACCAGCTGCAGTTTATGTCTAACATTCAGTGTTCTGTCTGTCTCTCTCTCTCCAGGTGAGCTGTGTGAGTTGAACATTGATGAATGCGAGAGCCAACCCTGTCAAAATGGCGGCTGGTGTGAAGATGGCAGAGCATCTTACACCTGTCACTGTCCTGAAGTTGAGCCTGGTGAACTTCCATGGGGAGGTGACCACTGTGAGGTTAAACTCTACGGGTGTGTTGGCCACAAATGCCAGAATGGAGCCAGCTGTCTTCCGACGTTGGAAGAAGGAAAGGACAGCCACACGTGTTTATGTCCGCATGGCTTCTATGATGAGCAATGCTCCACCAGCACAACATTCTCACTGTCCTCCCCTGGGTTCATTCATATCCAGATTGCTCTCAAAGAGAAAGTCCGCAGGGAGGTGGAGCACCGTGGTCACCAAGGTTTGGGGTTGCAGCTTCGCTTCCGGACAACCTTACCTAATATGTTGATCTTCTACAGAGGAGATCTGGATAACTATCTTTTCCTGGAGATTGTTAACGGTGGTCTTCATGCAAAAGCATTTTCTGAAGAGACTGAATTGGATGTTACATTTGTTGGCCCGGTGAGTGATGGAGACTGGAGGGATGTTCATGTGTTTTTGGATAACGGAAGTCTATTCTTGACCCTAAAGGGTCCTGACTGTAACAGAGATGGATGCACAGTCACAGATGGTGATGATGGGGAACCTCCTTTCCAGCCCTCTCAAGCCTTCACTGATGTTTACATAGGGGGAGCACCAAATGACCTTTTGGAGCTCTCTTTAAGTGGTGCAGGATTCCTTGGATGTATTGAAGACCTTATGATTGACTCGAAACCTATCCTACCCCAATCGCTTCCAGAGGACCAGGATCTTGAGTTAGGTTGTTCCAAGACAGAGTGGTGTAAACCTGATCCCTGTAATGGACATGGCCACTGTGTGGATCTGTGGACTAGCTACCAGTGTGACTGTTTCCGTCCCTTCCATGGGGAGAGCTGCTCTGAAGGTAACTATATGCTCCAATTTCCCAAACTTAGCACATTTTTTCTTTACTAAGGCTGATTTCTGAGTGATCACATAATAAAGTTGGTGTATATAAGGTAATAAGGACCCAGCTGTACCAGGTATGAGAATAAGGGTGTTACCTGATAGTCTGGTACTCGGTTTGATTGGGAAATAAAGTTGCAACATAGGCAAACGGACTGGAGTTCAAGTAAAATGGACCAAACAGGATTCACACCAGCCCTCAGTGTCTTCTTCAGAGTAAAGGAAACTTCCTACAGTGGTTCTTGGTGCAGTGCTCCCACAGGTTGATGGGAGAAACAGGTTTTTGAATAGGTTTGGACTGCTTGACACAGTGCAGTGTAAAAGGGAACCGCATGCTGAAAATGGAACAAATACTGTAGTTTTGGCCACCAATCGAACTGAGTCTCTACTGGACCATCAGGTGTGAAAACACCCTAAGAATTACCATGCTACTACCACAAAACTCTCATGTATGTAAATCTTTGTATGCAGATAACCAGTAGGAGTGCTCTCATATACTAACTTTATTTTAGTATGGAGTTAAATTCTTGTTGATTTCACCTTGTTGGTGGAAGAAAACATATCAACCAGTGGCAGTTGGAGTGCTGTCTGTTCCTGTCAAAGAAGTTCCAATGCTGATGCTGGATCTGTCTCTTAACATATTCTCAAAACCACACAAAAAAAAAAAAAACTGGACTGTTTTTCTTAGCATTACAGCTACCTAACACACTACACAATTTTCATAGACAGATTTAGAACATGTTTTGAGTACACACCAACGCACACTTGTTTGCCATTTTGTTGAGCTATGTTGTTTGTTGTTTTCAAAGATGTAGTCATTAATTAGCAAAGGGCTAACTTTAAATTAGCTAGCTTAAATTAGCATTGGCTTTTTAATTCATTCAAATCTTATCTGACTACTTATTTTCTGACTACTGAAAGGTCAGGTAAATCTTAACTCTAATCTTCTTTTTGTCCCCTGACAGAATATCCTTCATGGACTTACAGCCATGAGGACACAGTGAGTTTTAGCTCCTATGATTTGGAAGAGAGCCATGGAAGTAACTTCAGCGTGTCGTTTTTGCTGAAGTCCCTGAAGCCGGACGGGCTGCTGTTCCAGCTGAGAAGATCCCATGCAGAAGATGAGGGAGAGGCCTACTTTTCCATCTACCTGAGGATGGGGAGGGTTTTCCTCAGCTCTCTGCCTGACAGCTCCCCACTGACAGCTCCTGTGTTTGTGACCACCGGGGAGAAGCAGTTTCTCTCTGTGGAAGTCAAACACACACATGTGATGTTCGATCATGCAGGACTTAACTACGGAATAGGAGAGATCCCTGAGGTGGCTGTCCAGAGCGGAGATAAGGCTTATGTTGGAGGGCTCCCAGAAGGCTGGGACACTGCTGGGTGGGGGGGGCATTTTAAAGGCTGCCTCCAGGACTTTCGTCTAGACGATGCACATTTGGATCCAGGTGGCTGGAGCAGCCCTGATGAAATAGTTTATGTATCAAGTGAAGCTGGAAATTGGAAGGAGGGCTGCATCAGCGACGATGCCTGCAAGGTAAGACAGACCTTCCGTTTTTACTTTGTTGATGTAATTGACTAAGAAATATCTTTGTACATTTTTCCATGAGAAACATCACTTTATTTTGCTCTTTCTTATTAGATGGGAATCTCAATTAAATTAATTCCAGACTTTGATTAGACCACATCAAAACTTTTATTTTGCTTTTCGCTTGGTTTTGGTTTTTCTGGCCCTTCAGAAATGGACTTGCTGGTATGAGTTTAATTTAGTTCATGATTATGAGCTGAAGGTGGGACAACATAGAAGTCCATCAGTTACAATAAGCCAAGTGGTGATCGTCAACCCTACCACCACCATGTTTGACAGTCAGGAGGAAGTTGTTTTCCTGAAATACTGTGTTAGTCACAGGCTGGACAGAAACACACACCCTAGGAATGGATTGACAAAGATTTTGGCCTCTGGGCTGGAGCCGGGTTTGGTTTCCGTTACAACAAGGAAAATTCTTCTACTAAGGCAAATTACAGTACATTAATAGGTAATCCTATAAATCATTAGATATGAATTGATGCATTGTAGGTTTAATACATCGTCTAGCCAATACCTCCATGTTGTTCCCAAAGAAATCTATTATAATTTCATTTTCCAGTACTTGAATATTGTTTATATTCCTAAAAATCCAGAATACAACTCATCTAATTTGGGCCATTGAGTTTTATACAAAGTGCAATATTTGTAAAACACGCATTCAAAAAAACAGAAAGAAAAGAAAAATCTTTGGTGCCCCCTCAAAAGTTGGGGCCCTGGGCTACTGCCCTCCAAGTCCTTTCTGAAGTCCTGTGGAACATCAAGATGTCTCCATTTCTGACAGTTGTCTTGTTTGTGCTGTAATAGTTTGACCTAACCAAGTCAGTCACCGTGTTTCCTGTTACAGACGAAACCCTGTCAGAATGGAGGGGAGTGCACCATCACCTTCAATGACTTCACCTGTTCTTGTCCAGAGGAATACACAGGGAAGAACTGCCAAACACGAGTTTGGTGTGTCAGCAATCCTTGCGCCAATGGCGGCTTGTGCGTAGACCTTCCTAACGGATATGAATGTAAGAAATCTACGCCAATGACAAGTCTTCTATTCATCGACTCCAGTTAGTACAAAATGCTGCTGCTTGTCTGCTGAGTGGCACAAAGTGAAAGGAGCATGTTGGGTTCCCTTTACTGGCTCCCTGTCTATTTCAGGATCCAAACTAAAATTTTACTCTTTGTTTTTAAATCATTGCTTGGTCGTGCTCTTTCCTACTTATCAGAGCCACCCTCTATTCATGCTCATACCTTTTGATATCTTTCAGCATTTTGTTTGTTTTTTCCTTGTAAAGCACAAATTAATTTGACCTTGACAGCTGGGGTTGCAAAGAAATAATATAACCATTCAGTTGTGCAAAATGCCTGGGTGGACCTAGCCCGGCCTTTGAGACACAGCTCCTCCCCAGAGCTGCAGGGACCAGGCCTCTGAACGTCCACCTCTCAGAGCAGCCCTTTCCTGCAGCTCCCCACTCAGCTCCTTCAGACTAGCCAGCAGCAATTAGCAAACACCAGGTGGAACTGAGCATCTGCTCAACTCACTGTAGCAGCTACTTCTAAGTGCAAAGCTGGTAAAAAATAAAATAAAAAAAACACACAAAAAAAACCTTGTTAAAGGGTTAATAGAGGAGCCATGTTGTGATGACTTCCTGAAGGAGTTTAAGAAAGAGCAGGTGTTTTTAAAGTGACAGGTGCCCTATTTGAAGCTGATGAACTATGATGTCAACTTTCCTTTTGTCATGATGTGTGGTTGAGGAGAGCGGTGAGAGAGACGCCGGGAATCCCAGGTAGTCATGATGATAAGAGATAATTTAATGATAAACCAGGAGGAACAACAGAAAATCACTGGCAGCACAGGAACAGACGTGAGCCGAGGGTGAGACACGACGAGGATCCGACACAGACAAAGACAACAGGTGGGGTTAAATACACAGGAAAGGTAATCAGAGAACGGGATACAGCTGGGAGCAATCAACAGGGAAGACAGATTCACAGGGGAAACTGGACTAACACAGAAAAACTACACAGAAAACACAGATCCTAACACCTTTAACCTATATTTAATATATATAGCATTTTTAGAATAACTGGAGTTAACATAGTTATTTGGTTGTGCTGTAAAATGGCACTATGTGCCTGGAAACCTGACATTGGTGAACTTTGACTTTGCTAACTACCTTGAATTAAAAGCAACAGAAGAGAAAAAGCTGGTGTATTTTTGTACGCTTTGAGAAAGAGAAAGTTCACAGCATGACTTGTCATTTGATGAATAACATATGAACACTTGAACAATAGCAATGACTCCTCCTTGTTCACTGCTAGGTTTGCACAATGCCACGTTTGAGAGCAACCCAGTGCAGTACAGTGCTGGAGGCTCCCTGGCTGGACCCATCGCTGACATCTACATGGAGCTGCGGACCCGATCAGAGAATGCTGTGCTCCTGAGGGCCTCCTGGGGCTCCAACCTGCTGGTGGTGGGCATCCTGGACTCCTCAGTCTGGGTGGAGATCCAGACGGACAGCAGCGTCAAGTCGGTGACCCTTAAGGGAATCTGTCACGTGACTGACGGACACTGGCACCGCGTCAACGTCTCCATGGCAGACTGGAAGCGCAAAGCCTCCCCCTGGGTCATCACTGTCGATGGAATCACAGATGCCACCAGCAAACAAGAGCGCACAGGAAGTCTGAGCTTCCTCAACAAAAAAGGAGCCTTGCTGGCTGTTGCAGACAGCTTCACTGGCTGTTTGGGTGCAGTGAGGCTTGGCGGGATTTATCTCCCCTTTGCAGATGACCATAAAGCTCCACAGCCCTCTCAGTTTCACATAGTTGGGAAACCCAAAGTGCATCTGGGCTGTAGCAGCGCACCGGTTTGCGATTCTGGTCCCTGTCTAAACGGAGGCACATGTGAAGACTTGTTCAATAAATTTGGTTGTGTGTGTGACACGGGTTGGGAGGGAGAGCTGTGTGAGACGGATACTGACGACTGCGTGTCTCAGCCCTGTGTCTACGGCAGTTGCAAGGACTACCTGGCTGGCTATGAGTGCCGCTGTGACCCCGGTTACACCGGAACGCTGTGTGACGAAGACATTGACGAGTGTGCTCTTCATCCCTGTGAACATGGAGGAACCTGTCAGGATGGGGTTAACATGTTCACCTGTGTGTGCCCCACGTACTACAGCGGCCCCCGCTGCCAGTGAGTGCTGGCTATGCTCATTCTTGTTTCTATGTTACATCCCATCTCTTGTATAGTATAGATCCAGTATCTACTTTTGAAATTCCTTTTAAAACATTTTTGTTCTTTTTAGGTGGGACTATCCTCCATTACAATGTGACACAGATGTCCAATGTGCAAATGATGGAATATGCAGAGATGGGCTCTGGGGAGCTAACTGCACATGCATGCCAGGTTTCACAGGCAGCAGGTAAAATAACCTGAACAATTGCAGTGTGTAGCTTTTAACTTTTACAAAAATGTCTTTTGTTTCTTTCTATATTTGTTAAAACTGTCACCATATGATGAGACAGATGATACTGCCTCATCGCTAAACTAAGCTCTTCCACCTGCTTCTTGAGCTGCTATTGCCGCCTGCAAAAATGATCCTCTCCTGGAAAAAACAACCAATCACAGCCAGGAGGAGGTTTTAGCGCTGCCAATCATCTCGTTCATGTGCTGCTCAATGTGCTAATGGCAGAGAAACAACTTACTGTTACAGAAAAACTGCTTATCTGTCATCACGAATGCTAAAGCCATGCTAATTAGCCTTAGCATTTGTGACAGGATAGTGGTCATGAGCATATCTGGTGGCATGAAATCAGACAAACCATGATTAACATGTAATACATTAAACAAGTATCGCTTAATGCTGAGGCAGGTGGAAATGCTTATTTACAGTAACTCCATTTACAGTACAGGAACTCCACTGGCTTCACTGATTTAAATGGATTTCACACAAAAACACTTCCATCAGTTATCTGTTTCAAGCAGACCAAAGCTCAATTCTAGAGTAAATATGAAGAACAAACTGCTTTTCACACAACAAAAACACAAAATATTCCCAAGTACTTTTGTCTAGTTTCTAGTTCAAATATTTTAGTACATGAAATAAGACACAATTAAATTAAAAGTAAGTTTTCAGCAAGATAAATACACTCAACAATGCTTGAATATATATATATATATATATATATATATATATAAAATATGTTTTTTTCTGTTTTGTGTGAAAAAGTCTGCCAGTGGAACTGATGCTTTGGTACTAGTATTATTGACCTATAATAATTCTTCATGTTTTGTTACTTTGTCTGTGGATTAGTAAAAGGGGTTTCCAGCCAGGAGTTAACTTTAGGGGGTGGCATGTAAAGTCTGTGAATCCTCCTTCAGCAGATTCTGATGATGGAATCTGCTCCTCAGTATGCCACCCAGGACGGTGGGCCCTGGGGCCCAGGCCTGGCCATCACTGCCTGTAATGACATCATTTCCTCTTTTCTTTAGGTGTGAACTGGAGATTGATGAATGTAACTCCAACCCTTGTCGGAATGGCGGCTCCTGTTTGGATCGCTTCAACATGTTTGTGTGTGAATGCCCTGCGGGGTACAGCGGCCCGCTCTGTGACGTCAACGTACGTTTCCTCCTTTGGTCTTGTTCTCATGTTTTCTGGGTGTATGGATATCTGGGATGTGTGTAAGCCAAAGACTGCAGCTAAAAAAAAAATAAAAAAAAATGAATGAAGCCCCAGCATTATTGCTAGTGTTTGTTTTCCTGTGTGTTTGCAGAAGGAGACCCATAAACAGGGAATCCCATGGCTGATGGTGGTTATCCCGCTGCTCTGCCTCTGTGTGGTGGTCCTGATCATTGGCGCCACCTTCATGCTGCTCACAGCCAGGAAGAAGCGCCAGTCAGAGGGGGCTTACAGTCCCAGCGCTCAGGAGCTGGCCGGAGCCCGGCTGGAGATGGACAGCATGCTGAAGGTCCCACCAGAGGAGCGACTCATCTGACCGCTGGCTGCTGGGTGGAGGGAGTTCGATCTGATCGGAGCGCTGCAAGATGAGCTGGGCACTCTGACACATCACAAGGCACAGCCTCCGTGTGGTGGCCTATGCTTCCTAATCCCATAAACGTTGTTTATGGCGGAGCCTTAAGGCTAGTTTTCTACCAACCGCTACTTATGTGGACTGTGTGTGTGTGCAGCGTCACAGTCCTCTGGCTCTGCACCTACGGTAATGGATAACAGCATGTACTGTACTGGACCTATGACTTAAATCTCTGGCTTAACTTGTTTTCCTTGTGACACTGGGACGCTCCGATCCCTGCCCGAGGGAAACGTCCAGCAGCGCCTCCGATCTCTGCAGCCCTTCTCATGGCGTGGGAATTAGTGGACAACTTCACTAAAGTTTGACGTCATCAGTTGTTTTGTCTCCGTTAAATATAGTAGATTTTTACCCATATGCTGATGTTAATTTGTGTACAGTGCCTTGCAAAAGTATTCAAACCCGTCAGCCTTCGTGGAGGAGTCAGAAGAAGGAAGCTGGTGTTGAAAGAAAATCATAAGTTCTGTCTGCATTTTACCAAAAGTCATGGAGAGGAGACAGCAGGAAGGTGGTGTGGTAAACACACGGGTTGCTTTACTTTAACAGAGCCAAAGAAGTTAGTTGGAAGGTGGATGAAGCTGAGTCCAGAACAGTCCTGGAAGAAAACATGTTTTCTACAAACATGCCTTGAAACTGAGGCACTGACTCACCTTCCAGCAGGACAACGTTCAAATGAAGGATTGGACTAGATCAAATCATATTTGTGTGTTTCAATGGCTGAGTCAAAGTCAGGATCTGAATCCACTGGAAGCACTACAGCAATTACCTGTAGGTTCTATTTCTACAAGCTCTGTTGCCAATTTTAAGTTTGAGCAAAACTCTCAGTCCAGACAGAGTGAACAGGCAGAGATGAACTCCAGAAAAGTGCTCTATGAATTAACTCAGGGAAGTTGAATATAAATGTGTGACATATTTTTAAGACGTTTCATCTTAAAAATATGAAAACGTCTTGTATAATTTTCCTTCCACTTGACCGTAATGCTTTATTTCTTCTTGTTACGAATCCCAATGAAATTTCTGGTTCCAATGTGAGAAATTGGAAAAGGTGCAACGGATGAAAATACTTTTGTAAGGCACTGGAACCTGAGTCAGAAAGGGTCTGGACTCTCAACACCACACTGAAGTTTTTATTTAACAAAAATCACCCAGAAACTAAATGTGATGGAAGTAGGGGGCTTAAAACAGTTCTGTTTTTAGTCTGCATGTTCTGATGCTGTTTAAAACGACGGTCAGAACGTCGGACATGTTATGCATGTCATGCACAGCAGAACTCTGTATAAAGCCTTTAGCTGCTGCCTTGGTCATACTGATGTTGCACTGAATTTTCTACAAAGTTCTATTTTTCAAACCAGTTCAGATTAATTATACAGTATTAATTCACATCACGTCATCTCAAAGAGAAAAATCTAATTGGAAATCCCAATTCAGGTCCAGTTACACACTCCAAACAGTTCCTAATACAGACCCATCCAATACACTGTAATATTATTGAAATGTCCACAAACAGCTAACAAGAACATGACATTTAACATGATTATGTTCCACATCCTAGGTCATTACTACAGTCTGCAGTCTGTGCTGTAAATATCTACAGGTTACTATGGTAACGTGTAATACAAATATATGAGTTTAATGAAATAGTCTGTGTATCTTCCGTTGTACTTGTTGGGAGTTCTTTGATTTTTCCAAACTGGGTGAAACATGTCAGGATTACAGGACCAAACTAATACAAACCCAAGAGTTGCAGAAATGTATACAAAGAACATAGAAACCTTATGTTGCAAGATCGTTGTTGTTTCAGTTTCATATTATTCGTGAGTCGTAAATTACAACTCGGCAAAATCTGCTGTTACACTTTTGCTAGTGATGTGACCAACTATTTGCCGTCTTATAGGTTTCCTTTTGCTTTTTGTCACAAAGGTTTTAGATCATCAAACACAACTGATTAAATACGGAATGCAGATTGGTTTAAAAAGGTAATCTCTCCCTAAACATAATTTGTGGTTGTTCAACCCTTGGCAGCAACAAGTGTTTTAGGTGTCAAGCAATGAGTCTTGTAAATCACTGTGGAGGAGTTTTGACCCACTCTTCTTTGCAGAATTGTTTTAATTCAGCCTCATTGGAGGGTTGTCTAGCATAAATGGCCTGTTTGAAAAATGTCAATTCTAAACCCTTTTTTTTATTTTTTATTTTTTTGTCAGTCAGAGGTGACTTTATCTGGACATTTTCCTATACACTTTTTTATGTCACACGAGTCATGTGATCAACAACCAGCTGTTACTACTGACAAAAACAATGAAGACGACCACAAGAAGTAGTAGGAGGATGTTGTTTTTGGGTTTCTTCTGACTATGCTGCAGCTATGCTGCTGCAGTATAGCTGCAGCATAGCTGCACATGGCACTAAAGCTCACTGCATCACACAGTTCATAAAGGTTATGTCATTCCAAAGTGTTGAATCCATAACTCTTCTGTAAAATTTCAAACTACCTCCCCTAAATAGCTTCTCCCAAGTAAAGTATAAGGGGTTTGATGCTCCAACGCTGCTAATATCCTGTAGTTAATTTACCACAGGTCTGCTGCTCCCTGGACAGATAGCTGCACTGCCGCAGGGCAGCAGAGGTCACGCACGCACACATTCACATGCGCCTCAAAGCCATTTAGAGACCAATTAACCTAACAGGAGGGAGGAAGTCAGTGAGCTTACGTAACCTCCACACACAAACACACACAGCGAGAGCATGCAAACACCACATAGAGCAAACATCTGCATCACCATGCAACCTCTATAGCAAGTTTAAAATAAGCCTGTCCTTACTATGTATTTTTATTTATTCATTTAGTCAAATTTGCTCTGCATGATTTCACTCTAATATTTTGAACCCCAGCAGGTATTTTTTTGCATTTGTGACAGTTGTTTTGTTTATCCTGTCCCCCAATACCTACTGACTTAATTTCCTCTCACACTGCTCACAGGTTGATCCTGTTTGGTTGGAATACACCGTCTATCTACGATGACGTATTGGTGCCATTTTTTGTAGAAAAACAAAAAGTAAATTTCTGCCAAAAACCTCAGGAATTGTGAAATTCATTTTCAGACATTTTCTAGAAAACAATGTTTTTTGGCAGAAGTTTTTTTCTGTCTTCAACAGCCCTAATATGCTGTTACACCATTATGTTTGGAAGAAACAAAAACTGACCTAAAATCTCTTTCTGCGGTTATTTCAGTTTTGCATTAATACCATGATAGATAAACAGATGTCTTTGTTTCTGTTGTGAATATTTTCAGAGTACAGTAATTCTGTGACATTATCCAAGTGGCACAAAAACAATGAAAAATGGTGCATATGTGAAAAGAAAACCAAGTTTTCTCCTCTTGCTGCACTTGAATCCGTATTGATGCCAGTGTTTACATTAATGCTGATGCATGTATACATGTAAATAAGTTCATGTGAAAAATAAAATGTGGAGTTTCTTTTTAGTGTCCTCAGTCTTTGTTGTTCCTTTTAGCTATGAGTGTTTAAATATTAGCATTTCAGGAAATGTAATGAATATGTCAAAGGTCAATTAGACAAAAAAATTCACAACAAAGTGATGCTTTGCAGACACTTTATTACACAAATACAATAGTTACTGAAAATAGTACTCTTGTACTTAAACCGGTGCCACAGCTAATATAAGGTAGGCCACATGTGACAGCGTAGCTAAATATCTATGGCATGCGGTCAGGAAAGCCTCTCAAGCTCCATAGCAAACTATGAGCAACGGCAGAAAACATGGAATACGATTTTAAAAAATGACAACCGAAAAACTGATCCACTAACGTAAAACCTGACATTACATAAAGTGACTTAAATCATTAATTTTTTTTTATTTTTATTTTTTAAAGATGCAATTTACTAAATCATTCACTTGAATTCTGCTGTAATAAAATATCTAAACAGCAGTTAAATGGAAAATAAATTCTCTTTCCATGCTGTTCTGAATACAGTTCTGGATAAATGTGCTGCTTTTAGTAAACTCTGGAGGTGAACAGAGGAAATAGTTTAGTTTCCATTCGCTGGACAAAAAAAAAAAAAAAAAAAAGAAAAAAAAAGCACAGTGGGTTCAGATCAGCCTTTGACAACAAGCAGAAAGCTGCAGCAGCATGAAGCCTACTCCCCACATGTTAAATAGTCAGCCATGCCAAACTACAAGATGATCTGGGCTATTTGCCTTGAAGAAAACAAACCAGCAGAAGGCACAGAATTACAAGAGAAATGATAGTCGACCAAATACAATGATGATGCTGAAATGTCATAAAGAACATCAAAAGACATCTATAATAAGAACTGCAGCAACAGATGTCAGGATTCTGCTCTGAAATCCTGATTTATCTCATCCCTAAGCTGACACTGAAACACTGTAGGGTTTAATCTGAGCCAACATTCAGACTGAGCATCAGCCATGTTTAATAATCCGACAGGAGCTGCAGGAGACAAACCTGGCTGACAACAGCCCCACCTAGTGGTACTGTAGGCACTACAGTCACAGGGCTGCAGGATTTTATGAAAACGATTAAAAAGTGAGAGCTAAGAAACAAAAAGAAAATACAATAAAAAAACATAAATAATAAAAACTACATTAATATTTCTTTCTACATAACAATGCATTTGCAGATTTTCTTGGACTTTTTAAGGCTGAACCTGATATTAGTGGACAGTTGTTTTTGGGGACTGTGCTGATAATTTTTCCATAAAGGCAATCTATTTTTTATAAAAGAAAAATATAAATATAATCATTTTGTCTCCAAGATTTTATCAAGATGACAATAAAATGAATTTTATATACAACACATTTAAATATATACATTAAATAGCAATATTGGCAGCTGACAACGGTTACAAAAACAGTGAATTAGCACATGTGAGAAATCTAAGCTGTATTTGGAGGGGGGGAAGGACTGCCTAAGAGGAGGACTGAGGAGGAGGAGGGCGAGGAGGGGGAGCAGAGTACTCCTCTGTGTCCGAGTCGCTGCTGTCCTCTGCGTTCCTGTCCTGGTCGCTGCCCTCAGTGCTCAGCTGGTCGAAGCCCTGGCGACTGTAACCTTTGTGAGACGCAAAGAATTTCCCCAGGTTCAGAGTTCCCACTGCTTTACCTGACAGGGAGGAACAGGGGAGTTACCTCCTGCTGGAGTTCAGGATCAATCTATAGCACATGTAACTAGGCCTGTCGCGATAAACGATAAATCAATTAATCGCACAATAAATTAAACCTATCGACCTCATTTTAATTATCGGCTTTAGCATCTTTTCCTGCCTTTTTTCTTTCTCTTGATGACACTGAATGAAAAAAGGTTCAACTCCGGTGCTCTCCACTGACCCTCCCTTCCTCATTTCCTTAGTGCAATGTCCAGCTCACACTACACGAGTTGTCGGCCAACTGTCGGCTCCCAGTCGGGGAAAACCCCTGATTTAGATCGGAGTGGCCATAACACACTGCAGGATGATCGGTTATGAAATCACCAGGGACAATCTCAGATCGGCCACCGATCCAAGATTGTCTTAAGGGGAAAATAGGGGCAAAAAATCGTGTAATGTGAATTATTGCATCAGGAAGTCGGATGTGCCCATCTTCTTTATCTAAATCTAGTGATTACTGAAGGGCAATATAGTATACAGACTTTATAATCTGCACTCTNCAGAGGTTGACCTTGATTTCAGTTCCCGGTTTCTTCCCCCTCTATACTGTCTTAAGTGCTGGACAAGAAAGGCTGACAGTCTCAACAAAACTTTTTAAAAAACAAGCTGACCAGACTAATGCTGACTATCAGTCAACATGTAGTTCACCTTCTTCAAAATAAAATGCCTGACAGTTTCTCAACTTGTTTTTAAAATATGTTTAACTGGAGAAATTTGACTCCTTATGGTGACTTAACTTCTGCATCTATTTGTGAGACAGAAGGTACAAATGAGTGACGTGACTTTGCATGTATTAGAAATATTTAGTATTTTATCTTATGTTTGCTGTGCTCTTGTATTTACTGTGTTTGGTGTGTGAAGTTGTTTTAGTTGTGCTGTATATCACTATTGTTCTGCGAGTTCATCAGTTTCTGTATCGCAACTGCAGAAGGAAACAAAAAGGAACTGAACTCTGCACTTTGCACTCTTCACTACTCAGTATGTAGTAGGTGCAACAAGCCTGTGACTCAAGATAACACAGCAGAAGAAACAGTAGTGCTATGTAATTAACTCAAATTAACAGAATAAGCTGTGTAATAAGGACTTCCCTAAGGAAATAAAAAGATAGGGTGCGGCAGAACGTGCTTCAAAGCAGTAGGAGATTGTAAGAAGCACATCTCTGTCCGTTGTCCTTGCAAGTATATTTAAAACTCTCTTGTCTTTCTCCTTTCTGTGTGGTGTTTGAATATTTTAAGTTGTTTAAACCTGACAGCATGGCAACCACAATATTGGCCTGCAGACAGACTGATGATGGTTCACTTGATCTAGTTAGCCTTACAACCTTGCATTCACTATTTTGTACCTTGGTGTTTTTATTTGTTATTCATTTTTTTACAATTCTATACTTGTTAAAGGGTAAATTATGTTGCCAAAGAGACTGGGACAGTTGAAGGAAAAGTTGAACGACTCTTCTCCAATTGACCCTCTTTCTGTTGAAGTGAGAATCTGATTTTCTCCAGTTTTAAGCAGGCCATGATGTCAGCCGATGGATGTAAATGCACCGAACATTAATATTTTTATTTATTTATGAAGAAATGGAACTCCTGTGCATTGTATACAAAGAGGGCGATGAGCTAAACATGTTGCATAATTGTCATGGAAGACTGTCTTTTCACATATTTTCAGCCTAAACAGAAACACAGCTAGTTCTGGGAATCTGTAGGCTTACGGTGTGTCAACATGGTCACCTCTGCAGATGAAGGCATTTCTGTAACATTTCCTGTCGCTGTTCATTCTCTCACAATATATCTAACAAGATTTGAAAACATGTTACGCTGTTTTCAAACCACTGATGAGGTTCTGATAATTGTTATTAGTAGAGGTGTGCCGATCGATCGGTCACCGATCATAATCGGGCCAATTTCCGTGAAAAAGTACGTGATCGGCGATCATTGGCTCTTGTTGCCGATACCGATCATCTGCATCTCATTTCCAACCTGCCTGTGCAGCTGGTCTCCTCTTTCCTTCACTCTGCGCAGCAACAAATCCTAAGCGATGTGGAACTGTAACGCACTGAGTGAATGGGGAAGTTTGCGTGTTGCGGCGGAAAATTGAAGCAGTCAAAATGCATCAACACAACGAAGCTAATACGACATAAAAACAATGAGATACTTGACGGAGTTTGGCTACATCGAGGCTCACTGCAGTAAAAAGACATACGGAGGATCAGACAGCAGGTAAAGCAGCGCACAGCTACAAACACTCACCCGGATTAGCATGACGGTCAGAAAGCTAAACAAATAACCCGCAAAATTATTTAAGTCTTCGAGCTGCGATGTAAGACGCTGGTTCTGCTCTCCTGTTGAACCGCTGCTACGCTACAGGTAGTAATATTTGACAGACGGAGCTTCGCTTCTGCTCCACCTGGTAGTGACTCTCACACCGAACCTCTGTTTAAAGCTGCAGCATATAACTTAAAAAATAAATTTTACATGCTGACCTGAGTTCCAGTCCAAACGCACCCGGACCGTTTACCTGTGTTTCTTTCCCTTTTTGTTGTAATAAATCACTTAAATCATTCTCGGTCTCTGGAGTTGATCTGGATGTCGGTTAGAAATTTAGATGCCAACATGACAGCAACACACAAAGCTCTCCATATTGGTCATCTCGATGTCCATGTTTTTCACAAAACATAGTAATTCTTCACATGCCTCTTTCTCTTCCTATTATGCAAAGATTAAAGGCATTTGGTTCTCTCAGTCTGCTCCTGCCCATGGTTTAATAGCTTAAAGTTGAAGAGCACTGGATGGAAAACTAAATCATGAACTTTAAGATTGACGTTTAAGGTGTGAAATTTTTTGTGCTGTGGTTTCATTTCAAAAGAGGAACTTAATATTGTTCTAAGAAGTTTGAAGTTTGCAACCCATACAGGGTGTATCATGACTTCTCACTGAATATGTTTCTGATATATAAAGTGAAATTGTGTCTACAAGAAACTTGGTTTTACTCTTTGGTCTTTGCACTCAGTCTTCAAAATGCTGTGTTGGCCATTGGAATAAAAATAACAACAAAATGCACTTTGTTGTTCATCTTCTTAATTGTAACATCTCAATAGGATTAATTAATCTACTTAACAGGATTCATTTAAGCAGGATCCATCCTCTATTTAAACAGGATGGGCAGTGACTTTCCTCTGGCTACTGTACCATCAAGGCCTGATTGTTGGATCGCTGCAGAGATGCTTGACCTTCTAGAAGGTTCTCCTCTCCACAGAGCAACACTGGAGCTCTGACAAAGTGACCATCGGGTTCTTGGGTCACATCCCTGACTAAGGCCCTTTTCTCCAGATTGCTCACTTCCAGAGTCCTGCTGGTTCCAAACTTCTTCTATTAACCAATGATGGAGGCCAATGAACTCAGTGGGACCTTCAGAGCAGCAGAAATGTTTCTGGATCCTCCCCAAGATTTCTGCCTCAAGACAATGAGCTTTACAGACAGTTCCTTTGATTTCATGCTTGGTGTTTGACCTCTGACCTACTGTCAGCTGTTGGACATTATATAGAATGGTGTCTATCTTTTCAAATCAAGTCCAGTCAACTGAATTTACCACAGACGGACTCCATTTAACTTATAGGAACAGATTAGTTTTGAGTTTCATGGCTATGGAACCCTCTAGGGGACATGGGAAAAATTTTTTTCTTTTGCGTTGCCTCACAAAAGGTTTTGTGTTCCCTCGCAATAATGTACTGATTAGTTCATGTGGCATAATTGAATACTGTAAGCCTTTTTTACAGTGGCCATCATACTTTCTTCTATAAGGTTTTTGTAAGGCTTTTCTACATGTTAATATCTCTTTGTGAAATATCTGAAGCTTTATATATTTTCCTTTAGGATAGAAATGCACCACAAACCTACGATATAAACAGAAACCTCCCGTAAGTTGAAAGAAGAAAAAATACATCCAAACTACTTGGACTATTTCTGAGTTATTATCGCAGAGAAATCAGTTATCTGACAGTTTTGATTGTGTCTCTGTTGTGTTCGTAGTCTGAATGGTTTAAAGGGCCATTTTCATGTGCAGCGTCGCAACCTTACACAGACATAAACATGCAGTAAACAAATTGATTTTCAATCAGTTTTTTTGTTCCAAAGAGTTAAGAATAAACACTGAAGCTCTTTAAATGTGTATACATTTGAAATTTTAAATTGACATTTGTGACTATATAAAAAAGACCAGAAAATATTGAAGTAAGTATATTGCAAGGGAACACAAAAGAAAAATGTTTCCTTCTCCTTTGAAACATAGTTGAATGTCACTAGCTTAGTTAAAGCCTAATTAAAGCCTGGCCTAGTTTTTTTTTACTTTTATTTTTCCTGCCGATTCGAAGGGCAGAACTTCAACTCGGCAGGAAATTTAGTGTTTTTGATTGTTTATTCAATGTTGCATGAATAAACAATTCATGCAACATGAATTGTTTATTCATGCATAGTTCTTTAATGATGTAAAGCAGTATGAAATCCCTTGCTGCTGAAATGTGCTATACAAATAAAATTTGATTTGATTTCAAAGAGTTTTGCTAGAAACTAAGGTATTTTGCTAATAAATTATTGTATTTTGGAAAGAAGTTATTTGTGTTTATTCTCTGTATGTGTGTGGGGCTTGCTGTTTGAGAACACCAGTGCTTGAATTCACTCTTTAATTTATTGTTTTATGATACCACACGTCATCAGTCGGAAATTCATAAAACAGTAATCAACAGAGACTAAGAGCTTTTTGACTAGTATTTCCTGATAATCAATTGGTGTCACATATTTTCTATTTGTTTAAATACCAACTTTATTTTGGCATTTCTTACCAGTTATTCACAGTCAAACCAACTTTTTTTGGCTTGCCTATATTTGCACCATGTCACAAAGCTCAGCTCATCTCAAACTCTGATTTTGAACAATATAATTTTTTCCCCAATGCAGCCAGAAGTGGCCCAATTCCAATTTTAATTATTTATTTATTTATTGTCATATGGTTCACAAACAGAAAATATGTTAAAATCATAGGTTTTGAATATGCGCCGAGTTTAACTAACTTTTGTATTACTAATGTGAACATAAATATGAGCATTAAGGTGAAATAAATTGTAGCAAATTATGCCATATGTGACAGAATAGACATTGAACGTAATTACATTCCCCTCACTTTTAATTTATTACGCTGAAATTGAAGACTGTTCCGTGTTGATATAGAACAATTAATCATCAAGCCACATTTCTGCTTTTGATACTGTGGGTGGCAATAAGCATGTACTTGCAGAAGTTAGCCACAAGAGGGCGTAAAGAACACAGTTGGAAAAGGAAGGAGGGATCATATTTAGATGTGATTGAGACAGGAAACAGGAATATCATTACAAAGCTTTTTTTTTATTTTAGCACATGATATAGTTTATTACACATATACTACTGTTTTTAAGATAGATAGCTAGATTTTATTTTATGTCCCAAAGATGAGAGAAGTTCTCCTTTGGCAGGGCTTCACTTAAAACATGTTCAAAGATTCATCAGAAATAAAATTACAAGGAGTAATGCATAACCCATATTCATACAAGAAAACCAAACTGAAAAAAACAAAATAAAGACAAAGAAACTATGAACCCCTGTTAATTTAAAGTGGTTACTTCTAAGTTTACAAACCATTTAGCTTAGAATTTTAATCTTAATGTTTCTATTAATTATGTTGACTTTTTGCTCACAGTTAATGAAAATTATGTTTAATTTTAAAATTTTTTGAAGTCACATTATCAACCTTCTAATCCCAATAACAGTCCACAAATAGTTCTTTTTTAAAAAGGTTTTATTGGCTCTAGTGGCCTTTGTTTGATAGTTAAGTGAGTAATGAGAGAAGGGGAAGACATGCGGCAAAGGTTGCCAGGCCAGGAATCAAACCTGCAACGGCCACGTCAAGGACTAAGGCCTCCATATATTGGTTGTGCTTAATCCCTGCGCCACCACAGCACACTCCACAAATAATTCTTATTGTGCCAAGAAGACAAAT